ACTCACTATGTAGCCCAGAATCACCTGGCACTCCCAACAACCCCCCTGCCTCAGCCTCCAGAGCGCTAGAATAACAGGCTTCTGTGAGCTCGTCCAGCATGATCATAGCGCCATTTGAAATAGGCTTCAGGGATGCTCCAGCTCATTAGGATTGGGGCTGACACCTCTCCTGGACACATGCAGGTGGGCTTAGAGAGCGCAGGGGGTATCTCTGTGGGATTAGTGCTCTGGGGCCTCAGCATTTGGTGAATTGTTCCAAAAGACAGGTGCATGTTACAGAGGCCAAAGTTAGGTGTGAAAGCCACAGCGCATGGCAGGCCCAACTGTCCTTCAGTCACTTCCTGTCTCTCTCTCTCTGTCTCTGTGTGTCTGTCACTCACTCGGACTAGTGTCACAGCTCCCAGATCCTCAGTGTGTCAGACAGGGCTCAGAGAGCAGGTCCCCAGCCCCACCTCACCCCCATTGCGTCCCAACCCCTGCCAATTTTCGCAGTCCTCACCAGTGTACTCCTGTGACAAGAAGCACATGCTGAGAGTCACCCTGTACTGGGCCTGGCTTCTCCCCAAGGACTCTCTTAGTAGCTGAGCAGAAGGACAGGTCCACTTGAGTGGCAGCGAGGTGGCAGGAGCCAGAGCCAGGCAGCTGGTACCTGGAGCAGAAGGCCATCACCTGGGCAGTGCAAGGAGGGGCATAGGCTGAATATTTTAGAAGCACAAAATAAACTCAATAACATTAACAAGTAAATGAGCCAGGCACACCCGACTGGTGATGCACGCCTGTAATCCCAGCACTCTGAGAAGCTGAGGCAGGAGGCTCGCAAGCTTTAGCCCAGCCTGGGAAATTTAGTGACTTAGTAAGACTGCCTGAAATTTTTTTTAAAAAAATATTTTAAAAGGGGCTGAGGGTGTAACTCACTGCATAGGCTCTGAGATAAATAAATGGATAGAGTTGAGCAATGGCCTGAGTAGCTAAAGAGGAATTTTTTAAATTTTTTTCTTTTGTTTTATGCATTTGGTCCAGGGTCTCACTATGCAGCTTGGACTTGTAGTGAGCCTCCTGTCTCAGCCTCCCCAGCGCTGGGACTACAGGCATGTGCCAACCCTCCCAGTCTCAGGGGCCAGCTTAGTACACCTGGAGGCAGGGCTGGTGCAGCATGTGTAGCCAGGGATCGAACCCCAGTCCCTGTGCCTGCCTAAGCAGGTGCTTGTCTGCTGAGCTATCTTGCTGGCCCTGGGACTAGAATTTTCATGCCAAACAAACTCCAGGCCTTCTGAGGCTGGCCGCCCAGGGATCCCACTTTGAGAACTACTACGCTGAACCAGAGACACAGAGAGCTTCACTTCCAAGCCAGAAAGGGAAGAACGAGAGGAAAAAAGGAACTGTGAACCCACCCTCCATCCCGTCCAGGAGAAATGCCGTCCCACTGGGCATGCATGTCATGTTAAATCTTTAGGTAGCCATACTTAAAAAGACACAAGTGAGATGAATTTTAATTAATACTGTTATTTTATTTAAACCAATACACCCCAAATATTGTCATGCTGATATGTGACCAGTGCAAAAATGATCAACAAGGCAGTTGACAAATCTTTGTTTTCCTACCCACAGGAAGTCCTCAAAATCCTGTGTCTATTTGACAGTTTAGACACTGGGTTGATCCCTGCCCTCAGTACCTCCTGCAGCTTGCCATCAGCTGAGAGATCAGGGATTAGCAGCCCCATTTTACAGATGATGAAACTGAGGCCGAGAACATTGAAAGTCATTTCCCTGATACCATGTCTGGTGAGCAGCAGAGCTGGACACGAGCCCCCGTCCCTCCCAATCCCATGCCACCACTGACCCTCTCTGCCAGGGACTCCCTGCATCATGCAACAGGCCAGACGCTGATTGTTGTAGGCTCTTAGGCCAGAAATCTCTGCCACAGTCCTCAGGGGGTAGACACATGGATGAGGCTGTAGCTGGACCAAAACTGTATTTAGAAAAAGCACATGGAGGGCTGGATGTGGCCCAGGGAACATAGCCTGCACCCCATGCCCGGGCACACAGTGGCCTCCTTGGCAGTCATGACTTTGTTAGTCAGTGTCGCTGATGTCCTGTGTGTGTGTGTGTGTGTGTGTGTGTGTGTACATACATGTTCTAGGCACTTCGGGGTGCATTGCTAGGCCTGCGTAGGAGAAAGAGAATGTCTCCTCTCTGAGTCCCCAGGCCTCTGGGTGCCCGGAAGTGGCGGGCAGGGTGACGTCTAGGGCGGCTTCCCTCGGGGCTCAGCATGGCCTCTGACCCCAGAGCTCAGCCTGGCTGCAAGGTGGCTTATTCCCACACTAGGCGCTGAAGAGGGGGCGGAAGAGCAGGCAGAATCGTAGCATAGTGCCTGCATTTGGGAAATCACGTTAATGAACAGCTGTGACCCTCCCTCCGTCCCTCTGTCCCGATGTGGCAATCCAGAGGGGCAGGGCAGCAGGTGCTCAGTCGAGGTGTGTACAGAACTTAAGGGAACAGTGCCACCCAGGAGCTCGGCTTGGCCTCTGGAGTTCCTGGAGCCCAGACTCCAGCGATAATGGGAGTTGGGAACCAGATGCCTCCCGCCAGCAGGGCCCAGGGCCTGGGAGCTACAGAGTAACACACACACACACACACACACACACACACGCACGCACGCACACACACGAGCGCGCGCGCACGCACGCACACGCACACACACACACGCACGCACACACCCTCACGCACACAGCCCAGCCACACACAGGAAGTCCAGTTTGTTTTGGTCCACTTCTCTACCCATCCTTCCTCCTGTTTTCCTTTTTGTGAGTGTCGCCTGGCTCCCAAGGGTGGGTCGCGCTTGGGCCGCCTCTCTGCCCCAGCCGTGTGCAGCCAGGCACTGCACTGACCACGCCCCTGCACTTCCCCTCGCCTAGCCAACAGCCCCGCCCACCCCCACCCTGCCGAGGAGTCCCTCCCTGGGCACCTGAGCTGAAGGCAGGGCGCATTTGATCCCAGGGGTGCATAGTGCCACTTCTGCCTCCTTCCAGCCCAGCTCAGCTGGCTCCCTGTTACGCATATTCCCAACTCACTGAACACAAAATCTGTAGCAGTGCCGCGCTAGGGTTGGAGCCCCAAGGATTTCAGATAAAAGAAAATCAGCCTGGACAGGCCACGCAGAAGCCTCAGAACAGAGAAAATATCTGCGTGTTCACAAACACACACATGAGCACACGCACACTCGCACTCATTGTGCACAATCACCCACCAGCCCCTTTCAGGGATTGACTTTTAACATCTCCACCTCTAGTACTAAGTACACAGGTACCCACATTAAAATTATACATTTTGAATAAATATATTTACATATACATGATACATTTGGGATATCTTGTACTTACCACTTTTTCCTTTTTCACTCAGAAACTGACTATGAGGGCCGGCGAGACAGCTCAGCGGACTAAGTGCCTGCTTAGGCAAGCTCAGGGACTGGGGTTCGATCCCCAGCACCACATGACACACCGGCCCAATTCCAGGCACGCTGAGCTAGCCACCGAGACCCGGGCATGGTGGCGCATGCCTGTAATCCCAGCACTGGGAAGGCTGAAAACAGGAGGCTCACTATGAATCCAAGCTGCGTAGTGAGACCCTGTACCAAATACATAAATGGAAGAAACTGACTGTGGACCTGGTCCGAGGTCAAAGCTCTTCTCCTATACCAGATTTTTAAGCTGCTTGAATTCCAGCTATGAGCAGAACATTACTATTCGAACAAGTTCTCGTGGATAACTGCTACTGCTTCCTACTTTAATTTTTCGGAATTTTTTTTTTATAGAAAACTATACGTAGTGGTGGCGCACACCTGTCTTTCCAGCGCTTGGGAGGTTGAGGCATGAAGTTCGCTATGAGTTTGATTCCAGCCTGGGCTACATAGTGACATAAACAAAAAAATCAAAATCAGACAATAAAACAGACCGTACTTGTACATATTGGCAATAACAAAGTACAGCAAGAAGAAAATAGCCCTATTGTCTCCAGCACCCAAGTGCAGTAACTAACCATAAACAGGTTTACCCGCTGTTTTCACTATATACTCTGTCTATACTGATGGATATACATCTTTTTAGGTCATTATAATGGGTCATTAGAGTTAAATCACTATGTAGGTTTTGGGCAGGGTTGTTTCTAATCAGGCTTATTTTTGGAACCAGGAATTGAACTCAGGACCTTGAGTTTGCTGGGCTGGCATGGTGTCCGCTGAGCTATAGCCCTGGCCCTGATCGGGCTCATTTTAGCACTTGTCATTTCTCATTGTCTTTCCTCTGCCTCGGTCTCCCTGTAGCCCGGTTTCAGAATGAGCCTTTCTCCCTGGGCTGGGTCTGAACTTTGCCCATTCACCGATATTAACACAGTCAAGCTGACCGCGAAGGGGCCAGCAACAATGAGAAACCTCCACTTTTGTTCCTGCCCGCAAGGGCCATTTCAGGCTTCAGAGTTACGGACGAGAGCTGGGCCCCATTTATCCCAATAAATGAATCACCCCGTTGTCCAAATATGACTTCTGCTGCCAAGTGTGCACTAGTGAAAAAGTGGAAACAACCCCAGTGCCCATCCATAGAAGGAAGGCGACATAAATTACAGCGCCATGAGCCCCCACGGTGACACTCTCTACCGAGACAGAGGGTGTCCTCCACCGCGTTGGCTACAAAAATGTGTCCCCGTCAGGAGCGAGCCACGCGAGCCTGTGGGCAGTGTGTTTGCAAGTGTGGGTGTTTGGGTCTCCCAAAGAGTATTTAACGGACCGCTACTGCCAACCGCTGTTTCGAGGTGGCTTCCTTTCTGGAATAAGTTTATTCTTTGCTTGGGGAAGTGAAGGTTACTTTTGTGATGGAGGAGGGGTGCAGCCTGCAACAACCCCAAGCCAGGGCAATCTGGAGGGAGCCCCGCCTGCGCCCGGTCCCCGCCTTGCAGCGGGCAGCCCCGGCCCCTGCAGCTCCACCCTGCGCCCTTCTGTGTTGCAGACTCGGACAGCCAGTGCAGCCCCACGAGGCACAGCCTCAGCCTGTCGGAGGGCGAGGAGCAGATGGACCGGCTGCAGCACGTGGAGCTAGTCAGGACCACGCCCATGTCCCACTGGAAGGCCGGCACCGTTCAGGCCTGGCTGGAGGTGGTGATGGCCATGCCCATGTACGTCAAGGCCTGCGCGGAGAATGTGAAGAGCGGAAAGGTAGGCAGCTACGGGGGGTGGGGGGGAGGACACACCCTGCGGCCTCCTGCGAGCTCCACCCCCCAGGAGCTGGCCTGTCTCCAACTCACCCCAGCCTCAGGGAGGAGGGAGAGCAGTCTTTTTTTTTTTTTTTTCTATTTAGTGCAGGGTCTACAGGCTCTACGGGATCTCACTACACAGATCCATCTTGTAGTGATTCTCCTGTTTTCAGTTTCCCAAGCGGTGGGATTACAGGCGCGCACCACCACGCCTAGTCTCAATCGCTGTCTCCCCCACAGAGGCGGGGCTGGCCCTGCAGGCTGGGGAGCGAACCTCCACTGGGGAGCAGTCTAGGAGCTGGCTGGTCTGGGTTTGGGCCCCAGGGTTCTGCCAGAGCACTGCCACCCTAGCGAGGCACAGAGCTCCTCAGAGCTTCCACTGCCTGATGTAAAATGGAACAACCTAGCCCGGCGTGCTGCCCTATTCCCAGCTCTCTGGGAAGCTGAGGCAGGAGGACTGCAAGTATCCTCCCTCCGGGAGCAGGTGTTGCTGAGCCTGAGCGATGAGGACCTGGAGCTGGGCCTGGGCGTGTGCAGCTCCCTGCACCGGCGCAAGCTCCGCCTGGCCATCGAGGATTACCGCGACGCAGAAGCGGGCAGGAGGTGAGCCTCGGGGCGGCGCCACCTTGGAACCCGGGAAAACCAGGAAAGGTTACTGGGCCGCTCATCCCACAGCTGGGGGAAAGGGGCAGTGGCGCACCCGGGCTCCATAGCACACGTGGGCGTGGCCCAAATGCATGTGACACCCCCTAACCCTGGGCAGAAGAGGAGGCAGGAACTATGTGCCTTCCCCTGGAACTTCTCCACCTCTGCCTCCAGCTAGAGCCAGTCAGGGTCCTATACCATCTATATCCACCTGTTACAGCGGCTCTTGCCATCCTAGCACGGGGAAAGATGCCATCTGAGGAGGGGACAGAGATGCTCAAAGGGCAGGGATGGGCTTACTGAACTCAAAGTGTAGAGGATCAGCAGGCCTGGGGCTTTGCTTGGCAGCCGGAGGGGGCTGTCAGGAGGCCCTTCCCCTGTGTCTCTGCCCCAGTAGGCTATTCTGCCCGAAGGGCCCGTCTTCCTGTGTCACCCTGTTCCTCCTGACACCCCATCGACCCTCACTCCCCAAGCAGCTTAGAGGAGAGGGACAGAGCCCCACCTACCCTTCCACAGCCTGCGAGGGAGGGTCCCAGCTTGGTAAAGCTGGCACTTTCAGATTTCAATAATTATCTCCTTCGCTGGCTTCCCATCATTTTTGTGCAGTTAATTAATTGAACCTGCTGGTGTATGCGATTATTTGCCGAAGCATCTTCGTGGATTAAAGAAAGAAGGGGCTGGGAGTGGAGAATCAGGCTGGTCTGGAAGCAGGGAAACCAACGCCCTGCGTGGCCAGGAGAGGGGACACTGGCGTGACTCCGAGGTGGCTGAAAGCTAGGTAGCAACTCCAAGGAAGGAACCAGGTGCTATCAGCAGGTCAGGGCACTGGCCAGTCCTGCCAGGGGATGAGACAGAGGCTGGGGGTGCTGCAGGCCCAGGAGGCACCCCCTGGGGCTTTCCTGCTAGGATCCCACAGCATCCACCCCACCCCACCTCCTAGTCAGCACACCCCCAAGCCCTCGCCATCCTGTGCCCCAGGCAGGAAATTCTCCCTGCCCCTCCCCCACACTCCTCTGGGGGCTTGCGCGGGGATTGAACTCAGGCCCTTGCTCTTGCCTGGGAAGTGCTTATTCCACTGAGCCATCTCCCCAACCCCAACTGCGACCTTCTGCTTCCTCTCTCAAAAAATGCGGGGAACTTTGCCCACTGCCTGAGGTCCCCAGCAGCACAGCTGTTTGCTTCTGCTGCTATGACAAAACACCACTGTCGCAGAGCTCAAACAGGGGACATTTATTTCTCATTCCGGGGTTGTAAGTCTAAGACCAGAAGCCAGCATGATCAGAATCAGGGTTCCCTTTCCTCCCTGCTGCCATCCCCTCACCTGTCAGAGAGGTGGTTGGGGGAGGGGAGAAAGGAGGAGAGAGATCACCCACCCCCCAGACCTCAAGTAACCCTGACCCTTCCTGAGGGCCAGCCACCAAACAGAATCCTGCCAAGGGTCAGAGTTTCAGCCATGGAATCTGGGGGCAAACTTATGACCATAGGGATAGCTGATCGAGAGCCCCTGGAAGCCAGTGCCCAGAAGGGGTGGACTCATCCCAGGGACAGTGGAGCCTCACGCTGGATGCCCCACAGTTCCTGGGGAGAGGCCTTAGGCTGGGTTTTCTGTTTCATGTGGAAATTGTGCAGCTTCTAATTTGCCATGAGACCTCACCTTCCCTGGGACTCAGTTTCCCCATCTGTGAAGGGAGCTAGTCAGGTGAGTGGCTTTGAAATTTTGAGGACTACGATGTCTTTGAGAACCCAGTGAAAGTTTTTGACAGTTTCTCCAGAAACCCACAAGGCCTCAGACATTTGCCTTGTAAGACCCCCCAGACCCAGCCGAGGGACCTTCTAGAGGCCCTGGACTCTAGGGTGAGAACCCAAGGGAGGTCCTTCTGAGAACATTTCCAACTCTGACATCCATGTGACCATGGGGGGGGACACTGCCCACTCTGGACTGGGTTCCCCTACTACAAACTCCTGAGCACCAAGCCCATCAACCCCCTTGCCAGCCCCTCACCTGTCACGGCCATTTCGCCCCACAGCCTCAGTGCGGGGCTGGTGTTCCTACCCCGTCTTCCTGATGGAAAACGAGGTACCTGGACTCCCCCCCACACAGTGCTGGCAAGCCTCTGATTCTGATGTATCCCAGACCCCAAGCGGAGGATTTTACAAGCTTGATCTCTAAGGCCCTGTACCTCTGTGAGGCAAGCAGCAGCCTCCCCATTTTACAGATAAAGAAACTGAGGCCCAGAGGTGCAAGGTCATGAGCTCAGGATGACCGACCCAATGGGCCAGTATCCCAGATGGAATCTATACCTTGTCAGACTTCAAGGTGGAATCGGGCCTCAATTTGGGGTGGAGGCTACGACAACTTTTATGAAGTATTTGAGTCACTTTCCAAGCTGCACAATTGACTCAATGCTGCCGTAGGCCCTTGCCGCAGCATAAACCTGCAGCTGGGAAGGCACTGAGAAGCAGGGGCCCCTGGGGACAGCTTTAATGACAAGAGGACTGCAGCGGGAGCACAGGTATGCGTTCACTGTGGGCATGCGGGTGGGAACTGCTGACCATAAGCAGCCTCCCTCGAGGTCGGCGAAGCACCCACCTGAGCCTGAGACCCGGTCCCTTGCCTCAGAAAGAAGAGGGGGCCGATCTGACTTCCACCACAGGCAACCTCAGCGCATAACACTGGTCTCAGAGGGCCTTGAGGGCTGGTCATGGGGCGCAGGGGCGGGTCCTGGGAAGGTTCCTGGGCTGCAGGATAGGCCACCCTGGAGGGCAGGGAGGGCTCGGCCTGGGCTCCAGGACCCATTTATCCCTGCAGGGAGCTTGTCTTGGGCTGGAAGCTTCCGGCTCCCTGCTCCCCCCAGCTCTGCTCTGTCCAGCCAGGTGGCTACCAATCAGGCACTGTGAGCTTAAACTCTGAGCCAGGTATGACTGTCCCTGGGCCCTGCCCCAAAGAGCTGACAGTCCTAGCGAGGCAGCAGACCGGGTGGGCAGCAGTTAACCTGGATGTGGCAGGTGCAGAGATGAGGAGTCACCGGTGGGTGTGGATCCCACAGACTTCCTGGAGCTCAGGTGGCCCAGCAGGTCAGGGGACAGGCGACAAGGGTGCCCTGGGGCCGTGGGAAGGCCCAAACAGAGGAGAGGGAAGCCAGCCAGGTGTGCAGCACTGTCACCCACAGCAGTGACCACCGCCCCTGTTCCCTAGAGTGGGACAAAAGAAAACAAACCAGGGAAAATCCATTCACTTTTAAAACACAATGTATGTCGGGCATGGTTGGCGAATGACGTGAGTTGGAGGCTGGCCTGGGATACGCAGTGAGTTCAAGACCTGCCTAAGCTACAGAGCAAGGCCTGTCTCAAAGAAAAGAAACAGCAAAAAAATGTAACGTGTGATTCAGTGCTTTGAGGGAAACACTTAAGGTCTGAACAGCAGGACTGGGGTGTAGGCAGCTTTAGAAAGGGGGAGCGGAGGGGCCGGGGAGATGGCTCAGTGGAATAAGCACTTCCCTGGCAAGTGCAAGGGCCTGAGTTCAATCCCCGGTTCCACCAAAAAAAAAAGAAAGGAGGGAGCGGATCTGATTGGGAGGGAGAGGTGGAGGGAGCTACAGCAGGGCTGTAAGGAGCCAGGTGCCAGGCGAGGCAGAGGCAAGAGGCTCAGTGTGCCCCAGAGTCACTTCCCCCTGCCAGTGCAGGGTAAGGGGGGCAGTTGGTGAGGGCTTTTGTGGGCAGCACCCAGGAGGCCACTCAGAGGACTTTTGATTTTATTGCAGTGCAGGGAGTGACAAGATCTGATTGGTGGATTTACTTCATTTTGGCTTATTTTTTGTTTGCTTGAGACAGAAGCAACATGCCCACAGTGAATGCGCACCTGCCATCCGCCACAGTCCTCCTGTCATTAAAGCTGTCCAGAGGGTCTCGCTGTGCAGCTCAGACTGGCCTTGAGCTCACTTTGTAGCGCACGCTGGTCTCGAACTTGCAGCAGTGCTCCTGCCCCAGCCTCCCGAATGCTGGGATTACAGGCATGCAAGCGCCACCGCACCTTCCTGGCCCAAATTAGATTGTTAATGTAACGAAAGTCCACTAGGACCGGTTCTGATTGACGATTTTAAAGCCCCTGTGGCAGCCACAAGGAATGTAGATGAGGGTAGTGTGGGTTCAGAGGTGGGGTCCATCAGAGGCAGTTGGAGGAATTTGAGCTAGAATGGTTTCTGCATGGGAACCCGAAAGGAGAGGGGGCAGAGACAGCTGACTCACAGTGGACCCATTGGGGGGGGGGGACGGGACAGGGGCTTCGGGACTGGATGCGGAGGTTGATTAGAAGCAAGGGGCCTAGAGAAGGCACGGAACTCAGAGGACAGGGGAGATGGGCACAGGTTCGTGGGGTCCTCACAAATGCAGCCTGGAGCCCTGGAGCTGGGAATGCCCAGAGAGAAGGGCGCAAGGGAGAACACGAGCCTCGTTAGGGCGGCATCGACGCTACCTCTGAGCTCAGGGCTCGAGGTTCGGAGAAGTGCAGTAAGCATCAGTGTGGTGAAGCAGGGAGTGACAGTGCTCATTTGGGAGTGCCCAAGTCATTTCTCCGAGCCCCTCTGCATTTGGGGCGCGGTGGACCGCATTCCTTCTGCAAGGCTGCCCCCGTGTGGCCAGAGGAGGAATGCCAGCTGAGGCCGCCCCCGTGTCAGGAGCATTCCTTTGTAAAGCATCTGTTGTGCTTATGCGCACGTCCCTGGTATTCTGGGCAGTGGCAGTGAGGTGGCAAGAGAGGACTGTGAATGAGCAACGCGTGGGCTTTCATTCTGACCACCATGTGTATGCTGCTAGAGCCTCCTTGTTTGCAGAAGGACTGGAGACCTAGCCCTTTCCTCGGGAGCGTAGAGTGATGGCTGGGCTGCGGTTCTGTGGGTCTCAGGGCTCCACGGAGACCCTGGAAGTGAGGGGTGGGCTGGGGCATGGGGTCCCCGAGGAGCTGCTTGGGTCCTTTCTGTTCTGTTCTCTCCCTTTCCCTCTCCAGGGCACCCGTGCATGGTCCCTTTTGCCTGTTCCTTACCTTTCAGTCTGTTGAGCCCTTTCTGCTCTTTGGGTCTTCCTGTCTCACCGGCCTCTCTCCCCTATCCCTGCCCAACCCCCCCCCCTCTCATTCCCCCCCAGGCCTCCGCCCCTGCCCCCCTCTCTTTCTGCCCTCCTGCCTTCTCACCACCTTCCTACCCACTCCCTTCTCTGCCTTGTCTCCCCACAGCCTGTCCAAAGCAGCTGAGCTGGACCATCACTGGGTGGCCAAGGCCTGGCTGAATGACATCGGCCTGTCGCAGTACTCCCAGGCCTTTCACAACCACCTGGTGGACGGGCGGATGCTGAACTCCCTGATGAAGCGGGACCTGGAGAAACACTTGAATGTGTCCAAGAAGTTCCACCAGGTCAGCATCCTGCTGGGCATCGAGCTGCTCTACCAAGTGAACTTCAGCAGAGAGGTGAGGGCTGCGGCGGCTGGTCTGTACCACTCATAGCCTGTCCCTCTGGGCACCCACTGGCCTGTCACCCCTCCCACCCTCCCACCCCTCCCAACCATCAGTCCCTCCCTCCCTCCAAGCCAGCAGCCACTTACCTGGCTGGCCAATCCCAGTAAGGGAAGCCCGGGTCCTCCAGGGAACTGAGGGAGGGGCTTCCTGAGCCCTGGCGGGGACTTCCCTGGACCCATAGAAGACAACAGGAGAAAAAACGCTCCGCAGGACAGGTCCAGATGCAGAGAGAGTTTGCAGGGGCCTGAGGGTGGAGGTAACGAGTCCAGACTCAGAGCCCCTCTATGTGGAGCTGTGCCCACCGCGGGACCCCCAGAACGCCTTCTTCCGTGTCCCCGAGGGAAAGGCCCTCAGCTGCTGGTTCTGAGACTGGGCCCCAATGGCTTTTCCGAGAGTGATATTGGGAGCACAGGGTCAGGAGAGGGGGGCAGAGGACCTCACACCCTCGCACACACACACCCGCCCCCCACATGCAGGGCCCTGGGAATAGGGAGGGGTCCAGGACACCAACCCTGAGCCTGTCTGACAAAGAGGCAGACGTGGAAGGTCACGACCATCACTTATGGTCAGGGTCCTGGGGGACTGCAGGTTGGCAGCCCTGGTGAGGGCATGTCCCTGAGCAGGCTGAGGCGCCTGGCTCCGCATGGTCCTCGCCCCACATCTGCCCTCTGTGCCCCTACCCTCTGCTGACCCCTGTCTCACCCAAGGCCCTCCAGGAGCGCCGGGCCCGCTGCGAGACGCAGAACACGGACCCCGTGGTCTGGACCAACCAGAGGGTGCTCAAGTGGGTGCGCGACATCGACCTGAAGGTGAGAGGGTGACGGCAGCACAGGGTGACCCTGCCCTTCCAGCAGGGGTGAGCCCTATGCAAATACGCATGCAAATCACTGCCTACGCCTGTGGGAGTGCATCTGCTGCTATCACTCACTCCTGCCCCTGAGAGTGGGCGGCTGAGACACACACAGACAGGAGAAGCCCCTGCCCTGTAGCTCTGAGCTGGTTCTCGGGGCCAAGCCTTACCACTGGGGACATGTCCCTGCCTTAATCCTGGGTCCGCTCCCACTTCCCCTGGACTGCCCAGCCTCCCCCGCCTCTGCCCTCAGGAGTACGCAGACAACCTGACCAACAGCGGCGTGCACGGCGCTGTGCTGGTGCTCGAGCCCACGTTCAACGCCGAGGCCATGGCCACCGCCCTGGGCATCCCCAGCGGGAGGCACATCTTGCGCAGGCACCTGGCCGAGGAGATGAGCGCCGTCTTCCACCAGGCCAGGTGAGCACACTCCCAGCCCTCGCCTTCCCAGGTGGCCGGGATTCAGGTTGGGGACCATGGTGTCGACCCAGCAGGGGAAATGGCCTTTCCAGGAGGTGACAAAGGACAGAAGCAGGATGAGGCGTCTAATGGTGCTTAGGGCTCAGGCTGAAGAGCACAATAGCACATCTGCCTGGTCTCCATGCCTGATGGATCCCCCGGCCCCAGAAGGACGCACTCAGGCGTGGCAATCACTTGCCAGGGAGCTAAATTCATCTTCTGGAGAGCTCTGAGGAAGGCAAGACCACCCCTCCTTCATTGGCGAGAAATCTGTTCTAAGTGACCCCTCCAGTACCCACCATCACCCCGCCAGCAAGCGGCCGCCCCTAGGTCTTTCATTCTATGAGTATGGTGAATTACACGATTGATTTTCATGTGTTGAACCAACATTTCTGGGATAAATCACTTGGTCATAGTGAGTTGCTTCCTAAACCTGTGTCGCTAGATTTGTTTTGCTAGCATGCATTTATGACACTGGGGGTTGAACCCAGGGCACAGAGCTACATCCCCAGTCCTCCTTTTCAATTTTTTTTTCATTATTTAGCGAATACTTTTTAGTTTCTGCAATCAAACTCAGTACAGTGTGTTAGCCCTGTACAATGGGGGAAAATTAAGTTTAACATTTCTAGATCAATATGATTATTATTATTATTATTATTATTATTATTATTTCCAGACAAGGCCTTGTTAAAGCGTCCTGGTTGGGCTCAAACTTGGGATCCTCCTGCTTCAGCCTCCCATGGCAGTGGGATTACAGGCTTTCGCCACCAACCTCAGGGACTTTGCTAGTATTTTATGAGAAAGTTTGCATTTGTATTTGTAGGAGATATTGGTCTAGAGTTTTCTTATGATATTTTTACCTGGTTACAGTATCAGGGCAATACCATCCCTGGGATAAACTCAGCTGTGCCCTTTCCTCTTCTATTTTGTTTGTTTCTTTTTGGAAGTGTTGGCAAGACTGATGCTCCTTATTCTTTTTAAACATTTTGGTGGAATTCACCAGCGAAGCGCTCCACTTTGCAGCTTCTCTTTGTGAGAAGCGCATTGATTACTAATTCAGTCTCTCTGCTGGGGGCTGCCTACACTGTCTGATTCTTTTGAGTCACTCTCAGTAGTTGATGAGCCTTCTAGGAACCTGCCCTTCTCCTCTAGGTAGCCGATTTGTCAGCACGCAGCTTACCCTAGCGTCATTCCCCAAGGACGGGTCTGATTCCTACAGAGCTGGACTCACACCCTGCCCGGGCCTGCCTTCAGTACCTTGTTTGCGCTGTTTCCGGTTGGCAGGTTCACCGTGGTGCAGACTCAGACCTGAGCCCTGAACCCCCAAAACACGTGATGCATTGGGGGACAGCTGGGCCATTCCTGGTGTCACAGAGGTGGGAAGCAAAGGCGTGGGAACACTGTGGGGTGGGGGGTGTCCCACTGTCCTGGTTGGCAGGTGAGACCCATGTGGCCCATCACCAGGGCTCTTGCCAGTGCAGATTCCTGGGCCCCATCAGACCTGCAGGGGGTGCAGCAACTGGCACAGCCCAGGGATCGGCTCCATTCGCATTTTGAGCTCCTTCCCAGGGAGAGTGTTTGCCGAGATCCTCGCTCTGCAAGCCCGTCAGCCCAGAGAGAGACTGCTCCTCCGCCCCTCACGTTTCCTGACTGCGGGATTTGGGGCAGGCTTCAAATACCCTGAGCCAGGAGAGCAGTTCAAGTTCAACCTTAGTAGGGCTCATGCAGCTGATTAAACCTGGGCTGTCTCGGGCCAACAGTTGTGCTTGGGTCTGTCTGGGACCAGTGGGTATCAGGCAAGTTTCCACTGGGGGGCAAATAAGGTGGTCCCGGTAGGCCAGAGGTTCTTGGGGATTACATGATAGCACGGAGCTCCTGCTGGAGGGGCAGGGAGCAGAGGGGTCTCCTCCAGGCTCCTCAGATCACGTGAGGGCATCAGAGGCCAGTGGGTCAAGGACCGAGCTGCAGTGCCAGCCCTGACCAAGTCAGCTCCCTGTCTTGGTCTCTGTCCAGACACTGCTGTCCCCCACATGTCCCACAAGGGGAATCGAAGTTCCCCTGCAAGATTTCAGAACCCCATGAGCCCTTTTCGGAGATGCTACCACCAGCCAGGGCAGCGGGCTTCATCGGCGGAGGGCACACAGGGGATCGTGCTTCTGGGGAATTTTAGAGACCAGCTCTGTGACCAGCAGCGTCCTCAGCAGGGAACAGTGACTCCAGGGCTGTGGGCAGACACTGTGGGAGGGCAGGCGAGTGGATACAGGTCAGACCAAAAGAATGCAAGGAATGTTCAGATTTTTAAAAATGTATTTCAGTAAAAGAAGCACTGTCATGAATTCCCCTCCCAGCCCTCCCCATTGCTGCAAGCA